TTCGTCAAATATGTGCTATCCAGCAAGCGTAGAATAAACATAGATGGTAACATAAAATTGTATAAACACTACACTAGAACAAAGGACAAACAGTTTAAAATTAATAAAAAAGTTCTACGCTACATTCTTTGGCGGTAAGAGGAGAGAGAATGGTGTTTAACGAAAATGCTAAGGTGACATGTGACATATGACAGCTTTGATGGACAGTCACAGTCATGGATATGTGATCTGCACATATTAAAATTATGTGTACGTAACCTGACATTGACCAAAGGTCCAACTAAAACTACTATAGAAAATCAGCTTATGAAATATGACATATAGAATATTTTGATTTAACTAGATTGCATAATCCAGATCTCACACTCACACCCGTCTGTAATAATAAGGTTGTAAGTTTGAGAGTAAATGAAGTGTACATAAAGTGTGAATGAAAGAAATAGACTAGGTACACCTCCCTTAAAATTTTTCTCTGCGCTTAGATTTTGTTGTTTCTTATTTATGAAAAATGCTTTCAGAACAAGAAAGTAACGTGTCCATTTTTATTACTAAATGTTTAGTAGTTTAGGCGATAATGCAAAAAAACAATTTTTATTTCGTAAATTCTGTATAATGTTTATTTGCTGTGTTGTAAAAAAAAATAAATAAAAGAGTGTAAAAACTCAGAAATTTCCGAATAATTTAAAAACAAATGAAGTAATACTTTCAAATTGTTAAACAAACAGATTTTGAGAAATATAGGTATCACTAATTACCATACTTAATACATTTGTGTGAAATTTTACAATTTTATTAAATGGTCTTTGAACAAAACGATCGAACACAAAAGAAACAAAAAGAGAAAGTAGCATTAACAATAAAAGGCGAGAAAGTGTAGGATAACTTTTATAGTTTCCTACAACCACAGGTAGTTTTTAATAAATCCATCAAGAAAGTCTTATTAAAAATTCTGGAAAAAAGATAAACATCAAGTTAAAAGTTTGTTAAGAAACAGATTTTGATCTAAAATGACCGTTTTCTAAATATGTACTTCATTTAAAATCGTCATTACGGTATTTTGTGTAAATGAACGACGAGGTGAACGTTGAAATTCCACAAAAAGAAAGTTACTTAAAAAATTACAAAAAAGAGAAGACAGATATTGATCTCCAGTTCTTCGCTAGTACAAAAATGAAATAATAAATGAATACAAAGGATTTTTTGGGAAAGGGGGATCAATATATAATCGATCAAATATATTCACGATAAAACCAGTGTTACAGTAAAGTTACAAACAAAATCTTGGACTTCAAATATTGAAAATAGACTTTGAGACTCCATTGACAGAGTCAATTTATAGGAGACCATAATTTCATTCAAAATACCGTCTATAAAAAATTAGTAATAAAATACATCATCATCAAGGACATTTTCAGTACATACATAGCTCAGAAATAAAAGTTCTGCCTACAACATCGTTTAACCTGGGAGTGAAAGTAACAAATAAAACTGATAAGAGTATGAAAATAGAACAAAAAATTGCAAAAGAAAGTAAAGCACTGAGAGGCGCTATTAAGTAAAAATTTTCGTCTAAGGTTTAAAAACCAATGCTGAGAATGTACATTATCATCAATTCTCTACAGCCTTTGTGGCCCTTGGCCTGGTTTAGAACGTCATTTCATTCGTCCCTATCAAATGCTTTTCTTCTTCATCCTTGAATGCCATTATTATTTTGAGATGCTCTTCCACGTTGTCAAGATATCTTGGTCTAAGTTTTCCTCTAGTTTTTTCCTACTTTTGGAACAAGGCTATTCTAGTGGAACATACATATTCAGGGGTTATTCCTAACACGTGGTAAACCTATCTTGTGCGTTTATCTTTAATACTTTTAGAAAGAAGAATATACAAAGACTTAAAAAATGAAAAAGAAAAATTTATCAAGCATCAACAATACTACGAGAATAGAGACGAGAGTTCCATAATTAACCGAACAGAGTTCAAAAAACAAGTCCAGAGACTGCGCCAGTTTTGACATCTGACAAAGATCGCAAACAAAAAAGAAGGAAACGGTATGGAAATGGTTGTAAGATAGAAAACACTGATATCAAAAGAAAACAAGAAATAGGAAAAAACTGAAGAAAATATTAAAGAAAATAATATATAAATAATAACTTGAAACTATGTCTACATTTTCTGATGAATGCTTCATCCAGTTTTTAAGAAATGTACTTGTGAAAAATAGATTGCAAAATAGTTATCCTATAAACAACTGCACCGTCGTCGAATAATCGAATACGTTATTAAAATGATGTTCTTCCAAGTTTTTTTAATTAGAATAAATTAATCGGGAATTTATTTATACTTAAGGAATACGTCCTTGTCCCTTGAGTTTGTTGCAAAATGCATCTTGCCCTAACCTAAAAGTTGAACATATTCCTCAAAACAACAACGCCATCTCAGAATACGAAAAAATATTAATTATGAGATATTTTGCAAGTTTGCGCACGTGACTCCAGTTCCTAAAAACACATTAGTCAAGAATGCTACCTTTGACCATATGTACAGTTGTATTATAATCTAAATTTTGTTGATTATCTTGGACATTTTCTACGATTATTATCTTAATTTATACTACTGACATTTGCTATCGGAACTTCCAAATCAAAAATACTTTATAATAGCAGAACGTTGAAAAAATTTTAATTTTCCACTTTTTGAATGTTTTGATGGATAAACCTTACCTTCTATAGGCACTCTTTTAGACAGAATCATAATGTAAAACTATTGTTTCATAATCTGTCACAATACAAATGATATTGCAAAATAATACAAATGAATTTGGATAATTTGACATATTTTGAAAGCACAAATTCGACACTGCGTATACGTTTGACAACCCAGACAGCAGCGTCTCAATTAGTTCATTATTTTCCAGGAATTTCTTCAAAAGGAAAATATTTTGTATTTCTTTTACCATGAGATATAGAGCTACCGTTGAACAAAGTGTTCAACAGTGTCTGATCATACAAGCAACAAAAATTAGAGATCTGTAGGAACTAGAATATGGCGAATAAAGAAAAATAAGTCTGCAAACTGTATTCTATTAGCAAAACCCGAAGAAATTATATGAAGGAGTAGACCAAAGGTTGAGCACCACAGTTGCAACGGTGTCCAAATCTTCCACTCGGACCTTGAAAATCCAGGAGAGGGCCACGTGGAGGCTCGTGTCGGCTCGTAACCATATCCGCAGCAGGTCTCAAGGTGAAGAGCCTCTAGTCGATAGAAAAATGTAGGTAGCGGAAGTAGACAAATTGGATCCGTACGTTCGGGATAAGGATTGGCTCTGAGGTTCGGGGCATGTCGGGCTTAGCAAGGAAGCGGGTCACGGCTGATGTGCCAGGCCTGGGCGATGTGAAGTGAGCCTAATTCTTACGAGTTGGGTTTCATGGATCTGAGTTCGGTCCCGTGCCTTGGCCTCCCGCGGAACCGTCTTGCTGCGAGGCTCTGGGGTGCTTGAATGTCCTCTTCGGCCGCGAAAGCTAGTAAATAGGTATGGACAAGCGATATCAAGTTGCAATGAATTAGGCCGAACGGAAAAATATTGGAGGTCAAGGAATATATAGCAGCATATATAACAGCAATGTGCAGACAGTAACCTTTAGATATTGTTTATATAGCCTAGGTTTTTGGTTGACCAGTATACATTTTATAGGGTATATAGAAATTTTTGGGTTTGTAAAACCATTATAGGTGGAGAAATTATATTGGATACCTCGTAAGTGACTTGTTTTTACCGTATCCTGCGTAATTGTACTAAATGACTTGTTTTACTTTTTACTACGGCCAACTCCTTTTTTCCTCTGTATAGACAGCGGAATTCCAGCGAATTATAATCCTATAACCGACGAACGGTAAGCATTCTGAGATAAATAAGGAGAATACTAAAAGCGTATTGAATTTTAGAAACAAACAGCAAACACTGGCATCTCATAAATGGTTTTATGTATGTAGAGAATGTTTATGGTAGTCATTACTTCAATTACAAAATCTTTACAGGGTATTAGATGTTTTCGCGGTAATGTTACTACCAGTATAGTGAATGAGTGAGCATTCTTCACGAAATTACTTTTGTAATGAATATATGCGGCGTTGAAAACGATTAACAGACCAATTTTGATTTCTAAGTGTTTATTTTATAAATACAAAATGGAAAATGGACAAAACTTTCACTAGAGATTATTGGTTTGTTAAAATCGTATCATCAGCGTTCTCATGACCCTTTATTCAGTTGTATAAATATAAAATTTTTGGATATTTGATATTTAAGTGCCTTAACCAAATTTTTTAATGTAAGCTTTAAAAGTATTTCTTTAAAAGTACATTTATAATTGTCCAAAATCAATAAACTACGAAGCTTTATGGATCTGCAAATAGGAGTAATTTTCAATACTAAGAGAAATAGGAAAAATGAGATGTTGGTAAGCATAAGCAAAGGTAAAGCAATGAGAAAAACTTGTTTTTTTGGTGAAAGTCAATCTAAAAACCAATCTATAGAATAGATTATAGATGGAGGACCATGCAACTCATTGACAGTAAAGAAATAAATCAGACAAGGAGGATGCCGTAATTAAATCCATGTATGTTATATATCGAGATACCAATTAATTAATAAGAATATTTGAGAAAATCAGAAAAAATTAAAAGGAATACAGCTGTATTTTGGTTAAACTATTGCAATGGACATAAATTTGCTAAATAATGCTTTATGTCTTGTCGAAAGGTTATATAACACGTGGTTTAAGACTTATAGTTGTGTAACTGATAAATTATTATAATTTGAAGTTTTATGTAAATTTTACCAACATGTAACTAGAATAAAATGACCCAGATAACATGATAATCCCTATATTAACATATTTATGTGACTCATTTGGCATTTTTCATAACTACAAACTATAATACTAAATAATATATAATAATACCTGCATTTCTTTTATTTATAGATTATGCGAAAAACTTACCTGTTTTGAAAAAACTGCTATATCTTCGTTAAATGATTCTGAGGAGCAAACGTCTCCCCCCGCAACACCCGGTTCACGGGGTGTACATGTTGCTAACTCACATTTTTCAAAAATTAAAGCCAATAAAGGAAATAGTGGATGTCTGAAAAGAAAAAAATTTCGTTAATAAAGTTTCAGTTATATATAACGGTAATGACTTTATATGTATTTAAATAATGACAACCATTTTTGCTTGTTGGACAATATACGAAAGTGTATCAGAAAATAATTCTTTTGTTAAAGGTATTTCAAATCTTAGTATTGGACAAACGTCCAGATGTTTCAAAAAAGAATGTTGGAACACATTGTAATCACGACTTAAGTTTATACGTTTTATACTTACTATACCGATAAGCCAAAAGCTCAGAAAAGGGAGGAAATATGGGTTACTGGTCCAAGCTCCACACTATTAGAACCTTAGAAATATTCCTTTAATACTTTAAGAAAAACTAGTGGTAATAGCATTCTGTGTTTAGAAGTGACTGCAAAAACGCCTAAACGCCTAATTCGATAACAATACTTTTTCCCCTCAACAGCTTGCAATTGCAAACAATATCTTAAAGAAGATGGCTATCTCTCTGGCCATTTACGGCAAAGTAACTTATACGGATGCCAGGTCATAAAGAAATTGCTGGTAATGATATTGCTGATAGAAGGATGCTAGAGAGCTATAAATAGTATAGTAGAAAATTGTGATAAAGTATAAAAAGGAACTTAATTCAATCTATGGAACGCTCATCCTACCAGTGCTGATATATGGGTCAAAAACATGGATCAATTCCAAAACAGACGCAAATTCTCTGCTTCTCTTCGAAAGGAAGATACTAAGAAGGATAATGGATGCAATGTGTAAGAATGGTATTTGGAGGAGCTCATATCATTTAGAGCTGTACAATAGGTGTAAAGAAATAGCGGTACCAGTAGGAAATAGGAGTTTGGGTAGATCAAGACTGCGATGGAGGCAAAGAAGATCGGCGCAGCAACCTGGCAACGGTTGACGATGAACAGAAATGACTGGCGAAATAGACGTTCAGGCTCAATTAGGGCTATAGTACCAGTGATGATAGTGACGATTGTGAACATGTTCTAAATTTGGCTACTCCAAAGGTTAGCAGAAAGCTTACTCCAACCATGCTCGCTACGGAAAGTACTCAGTTTCAGAAAATTGAACATATAGCAATCAGGAGGGTTCTCACTGAATACTTCTTCCTCGGATATTATTATTAGCATGTTAACTCTGTAAAAATATTATCCTTAGCTGCAATTATTTGTTAACGATATAATGTTATATAATGTTATATTATAACACACCTATTTTTATAACATAATACATACATAAGGTAAGGTAATAAGCAATCAGTGAAATGAATAATAGTTTTTTTAGAAGCCTAGATCTTTTGGACTCTAAGTAAAGCCAAACATCTTGCAAGTCGCAGTGGTAAGGTAAAACAACCTCTTGGCAATCCACAATCTAATTGATCGAAGGTATAGTAGGGGTATGAATAAATGTCTTTGCATAGGAATATAGCAAATAAAAGCAAGAATAAAAAGACAGAAAAAGCATTTGAGAATATAGAAATTGTCGTTATTTGATGTCACAACTAGGATAAACTATCTCAGATAAAAATTGAATACTTGAAACTTAAAAAAATTAAATAATCGTGTGACAAATACTACTGGATGAGTTTATTTTTAGACCATTATTCAGATACACATAAAATGAAATAAAACATATGTCACCCGCCGCTGAACTCGTTACCAAATCCGTAAATAATTCCTAACAGGCCCCATTGCCTTTTTTTTCGTTTTTATTTCCTCTTTACATTCATCTCTAAGTAGAACCATATGACCGTTTTTATGTTTAGAATGAATCGTCTTTATATGCACCGTTTAAGTTAGCAAACTAGACACACTTAATGGACAGATATAAATGCCAATTCCTAACACCTCTAAATAAATATTATTCGACGCAATGTTTAAATATTGGGTTTGTGTATATGGGTACGAGGTGACCAAATATTTCTCGTTTTTTACCTGCAGGACTAAAACACTACACTACACTAAAAAGTTGAGATGATTATTGACAGAAGAATATTTGAAGATGCTTACCATTTGGTTTGTTAATATTTGAACTGAGTAATACAGTCGTAAAGAATGATTACCGTGAAAATTCAGAGTGTTAAGTGATTAATTATCAGTTTATTGAAGAGGCTATTTGTTTTAAAATTACGGAATACATCTGGAATTCATGTATTGTAAAAGCAGAAGTACTTTTGCATTCTAAATTAATAAAATTTCTTAAAACTTCCGAAGAGATCTTAGATATAATAGAAAGTGATTTTTAATAAGCGATTGTTAACATATTCTTTGCAAAGAGTCTTTAGAAAATGTAAACACATTCTTCATCTTTAGGTACCGTCTCCTCTAAGGAGGTTGGTAATCATCACAGCTATTTTCACTTTTGAGATTGCAGTTCCTAGACAAGAGCTATGAAGATGTATGGGAGAGAGATGTATGGGGTAAGTCCAGTGACGGCTGGTTTGCATCAAGGTTCCTCACTGAGTCCCTACTTGTTTAATATTGTTATGGATGTACTGACTGGGAAGGTAAGGGAGGGAGCTCCTTGGTCGATGTTCTTTTCAGATGATATCGTGTTGGTGGAGGACAGTAAAGAAAGGTTGCAGAGGTGGAGAAAAGCCATTGAAGGGAGAGGACTTATGACTAGCAGATGGAAAACGGAGTATAGATATTGGGAAATCAGGAATGGTTAAGGATGTCAAATTGCTTGGAGAAAAACTAGGACGAGTAGGAGAATTTACATACCTTGGCTCCTACATAACGGAAAATGGAACTCTGGATCGAGCAGTTGCTCACAGGATACAGGCTGGGTGGTTTAACTGGAAGCGAATGAACGGGGAACGCTGTGATCGAAAAATCTAACGGCTAAAAGAAAAGATATACAAGAGTGGGGTGAGGCCTGCGTTGGTTTACAGTGGTGAAGTGTGGCCTGCAAAGAGAATTGATTAGGAAAACAGTTGGGATCACTACAGTCTCAAAAAATATCCAAGAATAAAGATGAACAGAGAGGTAGATGAGAGACTGAGGAGACGATGAAAAGACTGTTTGGCAGAGGACTTGAAAAAGAAAGATTTAGGTAAAGAAAGCAGAGATGGATATAAATTAGAGGCAAAAAAGTAAGGAATAGCGACGTCTGAAAAAAGAAAAGCTAAGGAAGAAGTATTGCTCCGATAAAAGCGAAACTACAGGGTAACATTGCAAGGTTTTAATGTAGGCTGATGCAGTAGGAAATACAAAAGATATTTAGAATAAAACCTGGATCAGTGGACACAAAATGATGCTTAAAACTTAGTGGGGTAGAAACAAAGTACCTGAACTGTTAGCAGGTTGTAATGCTAACTATAAAATATTAACTTTTAATATTGAAATGGTGAAATGATTTTTAAAACTTTGTTTTAGGTAATTAGGATCAGTACAGAGTAATAATGTCATAGATGGAGATGCAGGCAGTAGGGTTAGGGCGGAATATATGAAATGGATGAGGCATGTGTTTTGGTTGAGAAATCTTTCTGTCACGGAGAAAAGCCGATTCGACAGACGAATAAAGGGCAAAAGGAGTAATGAATAGCCCAAGCAATAATATGACAGAATTAGTTACGGATAATAATTATAAAACTCGTAAGAAAAGAAGTAAAAAAGAAAACAGAGGTTGGGAAATGGTCTATAATTATATATATATATATATATATATATATATATATATATATATATATATATATATATATTAAGGATCACTCGAAGAGTGGCAGGTTTATCGGTCAAAAGTTGTAGAAAAAAAAAGATAAAGATGATGGCTGCTTCATCTATTTATTGAAAACGTTTCGTTATCCAATTTGATAGCATCATCAGCTCATCTAAAAAGAACAATATAAAAAACCTAACATCCAATGAAAAGTTATTTAGTGTGTTACCTCAAAAATATATGTAGCAGTCAATGATATTAAAATTGTAAAGAAACTTACGACAATGGACCTTGTAAAACTATGTTCTATACACAATAAATTGAACTAAATATAGTTCACAATTTTCATAAATTGAGCACAGCAAAAGACATGTGGTAATTGTACAAGTATATAAAAAATACATGTAAAAAATTTTATATAAAAAAACACACAATTTATGTGCAGAAGAACTAAAAGATCTAAGATGCACTTCCACCAGTAAATCGATAATTAAGATTTAATTTTGACTTTAGGTAGCATTATTGTAATAATTAATTAAAAATTTTAGTAATTTAAAAGTATAATGAAGTTACCACTACAAGCTTCTCGACTTTAGATGAACTGATAATACTATCAAATTGGATAGCGAAACGTTTTCAATACATAGATGAAGTAGCCATCATCTTTGTCTTTTTTTTCTCCAACTTTTGACCGAAAAATCCGCCACTCTTCGAGTGATCCTTAATTTATATTGGATATATATATATATATATATATATATATATATATATATATATATATATATATATATACAAACTAATTGTTATTATCATGCCTTGACATTATCGCTGTGTTTGAAGTTAATTGGTGTCGATCAAAATTTCATAAAAATTGAAAATACATATGTAACGATATAAATTAGTGACTACTTGTTTTAATAAACATTCGAGCATAAAAGTCAATTTGAATGAATCAAATTAGACCATGACAATGCGACTTAAATTAACGGCAACAAAAACAAAGCCACAACTAATGTTATTCATCATTATTGTTAATAAGCCCCGTAGGTCTTCGTTTTTAAGTTGTAGAAACACAAGAATTAGTGTAAGACATTAATGCATATCACGTTTTTCACATAAAGTTTTAATTACTCCCTATCGACAAATTGATCTGTTTATTAATAATGCTGATTATATCATTATATTAATTAAAAGGTACATGAATTATTCATTTATTATTTATTAAACTCAAAAATCTATTTGATATTTTTTCTCGCCGCCATTTTTGTCAAATGATTTGTACAGATTGTTTAATTTATTCAGTTTCTGATCAATTTTTGAAATAGGTACAATTTTTTTTATAC